ATTTCAATTTTTTCTCCACAAGTTAGGCATCACAGATTTACATATGCTCCACCTTGGAGAGGGTTGAGAAATATTTTCTGTATTGCAAATTAATATAACCGTTAGTCATAATCCATTCTAGCCGTTAGGCATTGATAAACTTTCCTTCCAATTAATAGACGTTGGTATTAGCTGTAGGGAATTTCCTTATTCAAATATCTTAAGAGTTGTATATACATGCAGTTGCAATTTTCTTATGAATATACACGAGAATTATACAATTTCTCAGCCCATTTTTTTGAGAATGAACAAGCAGGTAGCATAAGCTGCGGACTATAGCGACAGCAGCACATATAACAATATCGGAGGACTTCTACATCTTTGACTAGAAGCGGATCAGTTTAGCTTGAATTGATCCAAGAGGTTCATCCGTTGGTACATAGAGATCATCTTCGAACTTTACTATAGTCCCATTTTCGTTGTTTGATAAATTAACCGGTAAGAAATGGATTTTTGGCTTGCTAAAAAAAAAGAGATATTTGGCATTTAAAGTTGAATGCTTGTTATGTCAGGAAACCTGCTAAGAACAGCCTTCTTGGACAAGAGTACTCTGAACAGATGGGCTATATACCCCTTCTTTTGGAGGACCAAAGAAAGCTTCCATCAAAACTTTTTTCACGTCTAGGGATCTCTCATTGAAGTAAAATGGCTTTTGAGGGATGCTTGAGATAGATTCATATGAGTACCTCCACAGTGCAGTAAATTCAGTTCCCGGGATCCCTTCTCCTGTTTCAGGCAAAGCTGTATATTTGTCCCTAACAAAGCCTTCAAAACCAGGGTTGTCTTGCATAGAGCTAACCCTTCAATGCCAGAAGTCAGCTGGAGAACACCAGATTTCTTGAAAACTACCTCAGTGGTATCCTTCTTAGATCCAAATTTAAAACCACGATCATGTGGTTGCCCATCTATGTGTACACGTTCCCATGGCTTTTCCACTGCCTTTATTATTGCAGAAGGTTTTTTTTTTTTTTTTTTTGGTGGGAAAGATAAGATAATTTTATTATTAAATGATGTGGAGTGAGAGAGGAAAGAATGCAGGACACTTTTCTACAAAAGACTAATTTTGTATAGAAATGACTATAATCAGTTATGCAGATGAAGTCTATCAGAACATATGCAGTGGTCTAACAACATAAGTGAAAATCTAAAATATCTTTGATTCACTTAAGCTAAAGAAAATTTGATGAAAACAAGTACCCCTGCATCTCAAGAACTTTGTAAAAGGATGGAGAAGAGATTTTAGCATTTACCGACCTTAAAAAGCAAAGCTTGAAAAAGAAACAGATGGTTAATATATAACTGTAACAATTAAAAGATAAATATGAAAATTTAGAATTTAACAGGGTAGGAAATTTTATTAATTCATGTGATAGTGATATTGAAATTTAAGAAACAGAAAGTAAAATAAGAAAGCTGAGACATTTCTTTGATTGAACAATGCAGGCGGCAACTGAGAATCCAAGGAATGCATAGTTAGCACTAATGATCAGAGTAAGACTAATGACTCTTTAAAAGCCAACGAATTTGATGAGAAAATGAATCCTAAACAAGAACCCATTTCATGAATTGGAATCAAAACCCATACCCAGTTTATTAATCGAAATGGAATTGCAAAACTAACATACACCCAGTTCCCCAAATGAATCAAAACCTATATGAAACAAAGGATGAAAAGAAATTGGAATCATACTTTAACAGTTCCTTGAGGGGTACCCTTCTTGTTGATATCGTACCAAACAAGCTGCGCCTCAGAACATATCTAGAAGCCACAGGTATCATCTTGAGAGTAACAAAGAAGCCGGCAAGACTGAGTCCAGCATTGATAAGGATCGATCTCTTCAACTCTTGTTCGATCTTGTAATGGTAGAAGAGGAGGTAAAAAGTATGGGATTGGGAATAAAAGAGAAAGCTTCACGATTACTCCCCATTTTGGAGGCACGATCGGCAGATCAGAAGAGGTGCTTTCCGGGGATTTATGGTCTGCTTGAGCTGGCCTCGAGTCTGCAGCGGCCGCTGTTGTTGTCGCCGTCGCTGAAGCTCTTTTCCGAGCTGTCATGGCGGTCTGCTTCTGCAAAATTCTGTAAAATTTCTGCTTGTGTTGACATGGAAGAAGCCGAAGGCTTTTTTCTAAACCGTGTAGTTTAGAGTTGTGTTGGCGTCAACCAACCAGGTCCTGCCACCGAAGCAAACTGATTCCACGTAAGCCAAAGTACAACCACAGGATGCTTGTCGAGTAAAACAAGCCAATAACTGTAAAATAAAAATTTTTAATGAGGTTTTTCTATTGTAATTTAAATTATCTTAAATTATAAAATTAAAAATTTTGAATTAAAATATATTTTCTTCCATTTAAGAAATATTATTTTATAGTTTAAAATAACTTAAATTAAAAAACCCTCAACTTTAATATTATCAATTGACTTTTATCAAGTTTATAATATGATATACAAATATAATTTTACAATCTTATTTTTTATCTAAACTATAAAACAAAAACCATCTAATAAAAAGAGGACTTACAATATATGGGGCCTACCCTCCTATCAAATAACTAGCATTTTAGCATTTAAATTAGTTTAAACTATAAAATACTTTTTTGATATAATTTAAGCTACAAAATGTTTTATGTACTTATAAGTTGTTGGCAAAACATTTTTGAATTATAGTTACCCTAGTTGCAACCAAGGTGATGAAATGAATAATTTACTCCCTTTTATTTATTTTTTTTTTGCCGTTAGTGTGCTATTTAAAATCTTAAAATAGTAATGAGCCACCATGTTCCTTTCATACATAACATCACATACTCATCATACTCATCAGATAAGTGAATGTATATCAATCCATCTATTAAATAATCACACATTACAAGTGTTATCAAAATCTTGATACGAGATTAGTGTTTTTCTGTAAGAAAACTATTCAGACATCGCGACCACATCCCTAGGTGTATGGTATGATTGATTGAGTCAAACATTGTTAAGACGGAAAATTTTAAACAACTACTACCAAGTGGATATCATATCAGGAAAATAGACCGTACAAACACTGACTAATTAAAATTTCAGTGAAATCTCTGGAAATTTAAGTTCTACCCCCTTACCACATGGGAAATGACCGTGCAAAATATTTGATAAATTTGTTCATGGGGGAAAGAAAACCAGAGCTGGTAGCATAACTTAAGCTATGAAGCAGTTTTTCTCACTGGGCTTAGGGCAGCAAAATAGTCACTTACATCTGCTTTTTCTAACTGTCCACACCAAAAAGTTTCTTGGAAGTTGGTTTTTTGGGTTGACAATCCATCTGGTAGTCTGAACAATAGCTAAAATACTGACAGTTTAACTAAGGTGTCAGAATAAGGCCAATAGGGCAATGATCACTACCAGTAACATCAGGAAGAATGTATGAATCGTAAACCTTGTCAGCAATAGATTCTGAGACGAGGAAGTAGTCTAGCCGCCAACCTGTTTCGAAAACAATGACTAAATCATACTATTCAACTAAATTGGGGCAGATAACCTTTCAAATGAATAAGAATAGGAACTGGAAGTGGAAGAAAACATAGGATGTGGAATGTCGTATACCTTTATTAGTTTTGCGGGCACCATGTCGATAACCCCAGTAAGTATAGCCAACGACATCAGGATGTTGCTTTCTAAAGGTATCCACAAATCCCTGGGATATGAAGTTTGTTCCAAAAGACTGCCTTTCTTCATTTGTAAACCCAGCACTCCTCTTATTTCCCTATAAATTGAAGCAACCAATATGAAAATAAATTACAAACATAACGTCTAACTACTTCAGTTTGCAAGGAGCATCTGCAAGCAGTGCAAGCACAGCTGTGGCTACACTATATGTTTCCACAATTGCCCAATGCATCCAGGCACGGAAGATTAAAGAAAAAACAATCTATGGATTTAATGGCATGACTCATAACATCATAAACAAAAAGCCTATCAATCTTGGTGAAGCAGTTTGTTTTAGAGTGATAAAAATATGGGAAGAAATTGGAATTTTTGCTACCATAATAAAAGCTTTTCAGAATACTTAATAATATTTAGATTGGAAATACTTAGCAGTGTCAGTTCAGCACTAGACAAATATAATCA